CATCATCCATCTCATCTTGATGGGCTGAATCCGTCCAATGACTGGGTCGAGCTGCTCCCCTGCTGCTGCTTCGAAGGCCCGAAAATGCGACAGTGAGTTCAAAAGGATTTCCAGCTGATGCTGATGATGCTCGCGTTGCGGTTCGCTGAATCCGTCCAATGACTGGGTCAAGCTGCTCCCCTGCTGCTGCTTCGAAGGCCCGAAAATGCGACAGTGAGTTCAAAAGGATTTCCAGCTGATGCTGATGATGCTCGCGTTGCGGTTCGCTGAATCCGTCCAATGACTGGGTCGAGCTGCTCCCCTGCTGCTGCTTCGAAGGCCCGAAAATGCGACAGTGAGTTCAAAAGGATTTCCAGCTGATGCTGATGATGCTCGCGTTGCGGTTCGCTGAATCCGTCCAATGACTGGGTCGCACTGCTCCGCGCGACTCAGCTCGTGACAAGCCAATGTGTTATGGAATGCCAACTTCCCATGTACAGTATCCTCTTGTATCCTCTTCTTGGCCAGGCGATTGCGGACAACATCCGCCTCACACTGGGGCTCCGAGAGCTGAGGCACCAAAACTCGGTGTTCTCACTCCGGTTCTGATGTCCTGATTAATGACACAGTGCAAGAGCTTTCCAATTCTACTCCTCGTCTTCGTTGCTGTGAAAGATGTGGGCAAAAGCTGCGTAGGCTGTAACGTAAATGCCATGTTACGAATACGTAACAGCACATGTGCACGGATGATTGCACACACACACACACATCATGCGACCGTTCCGAAGGTCAGGCTTTTGTTTGCACATTTGTCCTTCCGTGCCGGTGGATAGCAGCCTGTGAGGTGGAGGTTTCCGAAGCTGAAATGGACGTCTAGCTGGTGCTTAGACTGGAACGGAAGCTACTCGAAGGTACTCACTCGTAGCAAGTTGCTCGAGATTCGCTGCCAAGATCCCGTCGTTACCCTAGGAAGCTCTGCAGTGTTGCAATGTCCATGAGGAAATTGACGCTTCGTCGATCTTCGTCGTTTTGCCGTGCAATTCGACGCAGGGAGCGCCTTCCTGCTCTACAAGCAGCATCGGAGAAGGCGGAGTTTGAAGCGTCGGCTTGCTGTTTAGATGTCTGTACATTCGCGAGGGGTTGTGTCACAGGCGTACGCGCTGCTCAACTCCTAGAGCCTCAGCGCCGTGCTGTGGCGGAAGCCCTTCCAACTTTGCCCAGCTTGTATGCGGAAAAAGTGACGAGGTGGAGTGTTTCGTCAGCAAGTCCGACAGGACAGTCTAGCCAGCAACTGCACCCATCTTGCAGCAGTGATTGCAGCTGAGCTGACATGACTGATGTATACACTCACAGTGTATAGCCTCCCGCTCATATCGTGCTTACCTGAATGTAGCTTGCGTTCGTGGCTCATGACGGTTGCCGGTTCATCAGTTCTGGTGCAACTATCCCGTGCGAGAAGAGCGCCACCTCTGTGGAAACCAATGATGCGAATCGCTTGCGCACGACTCGTAGGTGAAGATCAAGGAAGTGCGTTGCCTAGAGAATCCTAGAGATAGATGGGGGCATGTCCTCAACTGCTCAACCGCGTCTGAAGATGTCTCATGCCGACCCCTGAGCTGAGTGGAGCATTAGCATCAGTGAGGTGCTTCCAAAGTCAAGCTCCGTGATGTTGGCTTTGCCCCTGCTTCGCCCCAAGGCTCGGGGCCTTTGTGTTGGTTTGGTTCGGGCCGCCTCCTGGCTGGGCGGCGCTGACGCTGCGATCAATGAGCTGGAACGAGGACGCGTTGGGACAGTTCCGGATGAAAGGCTTTGGAGAAGCAGGCTTGATCGTTGCACTGTTCTCTAGCATGAGAGACAGAGAGTGCATATCTCTGAAGGAATTTCGATTTCTGATCTTCACCGATCAGCCTATGTCATACTGGAAAGACGGAGAGAAGATTCCAAACGTGCAGCCCGTGCCCTATAGTGTGCAAAATTCAGATATCCAGATCATGTCGCAGTCGAGCGCGATCTCAAGAACGTTACTTGTGTCCATCGTAGTCGATATGCACTTTGCTTCTGGCAACACGCCGTCTGGCTAAGGTTCCGATACCTGAATGCTTCAATGTTTTCACGACTTGCGAGCAGGAAGACTGCTGTCGAAACGAGGCTGGCATTTCTCAGTCATGACTCGAAGGCAGTTTCTGTTGATGATGTCTTGGCTTTGCTGGGCAGGCTGCAGCACGGTTACAAACTCTGTGACTGGCGCATGGCATACGGAGATACTTGGCCAGCACGGCGTAAATAGGGTTAAAACAGCGCGATCAGCTGTCGATAGGCAAATGATGGGACCATAAGCAGCAGCTGCCATCCGACAGTTCCGAGCTCCTCCACCACTTTTTGGACATCCGTTGGGACGATCTGTGGCTGGGTCAAGCATGACGATAATGAGAAGTGGCCGCTTGTGGATCTGGCATTGGAGGCAGGGCGCGGCACAGCTTCCGAAACATGTGCCCTGTGGAGCCATTTCAGTTCATGCTGGTTAAGCAGATTGTGTATACCTGCCTGAAAATATACATGTGCAGTTTGGAAGCGAGTCCACAACCACGAACGAGCTTCATGTTGCCATGCATGCTCGGATGTTCGATTGTACGAGATGGCTCCGTACTAGTGGTAGTCTATGTTTCTAGTGAGATCCAGCTTATAAAAAAACAGGGCCTTGTCCTTTTAGCCAAGCTCAACTGGATTTTGACGACCCAAGGAGATCTTCGCAACATGGCTCCGGCAATTTGACTTCTGGGGCTGGGTGCCTGGGCTTTTCTTGGCTGCCCACTGTGTCTTCACTCACTGTAGCCTGTGGCGGGGCCGCTCCCCAAACCCTGAACCCTATAGCATAAACCCCAAGACCTCTATAAGCCCTGAACTATGTATCATGAGAATAGCAAAAATCCTAAATCTTGGAGAGAGTCGGAGGTGGACTTCGACGTGGTGCTCGGCCGCCTGGCCTTTTTTGGCTTCAACTCCTCGGCCCTGGAACGGCGAGACGTTGTTGGGGAGCCACTTAGTCTTTAAGTCTTTAAGCGGTTCTTTAGATGCAATCGGAGCTTCGTGGGCATCTGACTAACATCAGCGACAGCCGTCAGTGAGATGATGTCTTAAGCCTTACGGGTCTTCGCAAGTCCCGGGCACCTTCCAGGAGCCCTGAGGCTCCCAAGATCTCCCGAGTCCAGAGAGGCGCCAAAACCCAGAACATGCACGGTGCCGTGGGCGGCGCAAGATGTCGGGAGAGGCGGACACGCACAAGACTGCAGCGGGAAGACGATGTATATACGTGACCACATATTTACTACACACGGCACCGCAGTGGAAGTAGGCTTTCAAGAGCGCACAGAGGCGAATAGTGAGCAGCGTCCCTGCTAGGACTTTGCAACTTCGAGCGACTGTGCGTAGGAGAACCAAGCGCATGGAACAGGATGTGCCTTTGAAGCGCGTTGGTCTAGCGACTTCCGGGCAGCGGCACCCGTGCATGTCACGGTCGTCAGTCGGAACAAGTTAGTGCAACTGTGTTGGCGCACAAGCTTGTAGCAGTCACTTCCGGAAGCCGATTTTCTGGTAACCTGTCGCTCCTTCCCTTTCACATAGGTTTGGATGGCCTGCGCAGGGCCCACTGACGCTACTTCGCAATCGTCCTGATGTGACGCTGGGGCAGCAGCTACATGCAGCCACAGTAAAAAGTTCCTAGGGTACTTCTTGGCCTCGCCCCAGGGCAGGCCATGGCTCAACACCAAGGAATCGGCTTTGGAGGAAGCTGCCAGACGTCGCAGCAAGGCCAGACCCAGTGTCGCGCGTCTCCAGGAGCCGCCCGCCAGTGCGCTTGTCGCAACAAGCCGCTAGCCTCCCAGTTGGAAGCTGTAGCTATGAAGGATTATGCCACCGAATTGTTTCGAGCAAGAGTTCATGGAAGACACTTGAAGACACTGTTTCTTCCACCTCGGGCAAAAGGTCTACGTCAAGCAGAGTATCAACATCAGAAAGAGGTGTAATCCCTCTGTCAGATCCTTTGGTAACTGCTCCATACCATGCCAGGCTAAAGCGGCATGACATCCAACGTCTCAACGAGCCTTCGCTGAGAACTGGTGTTGGGTCGTTGTACTCCGGTTAAGTACACGACAGCAAAGTGTTTGAAGAGCATACATGCTAGCAGAGCCTTCGGAACACGCCCGGTGTGACTGCACATCGCGGCAGCTGCAAAGTGGCAAGTGCGAGATAAAGAGGTACGCACAGAAAGACCGAGCCCTCCTGCACTACAGCAAGCTGCGTGACAGGTCCCATCCCCTAGAAGCAAGAAGGGTGTACCGGACGTACAGCTTGCACAAAGGGGCGCTCAAGTCTTGAGGGCGATTTCACTCGACCAAGTCGAAGACACGCTCGTCACTGTCAAGACTGGTGGTCCCGAGCCACCCGTAAACCCTTGATGCCCGCAAAGAGACAGGTGGTAAATGATAATTGTGGTCAAGCTTCCAGCCTTACCGCCTCCCGCCCCCTTGCCCGTTGGACTGTGGGTGTTGTTATCATTGCGAGCATCGGTGTTTCTTCCTTCACCCTTGCATAAACTCGTATGAACCTCAAGCATGCAAGCAGAACAGAGCATGGAGAGATAGGGAGACATGTTGAGACAAAGCTTTTTCTGAGTGCGCCCGAGGAGTGGG